AGTATACTAGCCTAAAGCATGGCACATGGAATTCGACCCACATGTCTATCATTACATCAAATCTCAGCGTTGGAATGATGGCAAGATGTCCAAGATGTTTGATGGATGAAAGAAAACATTCTGTGCCACCACAGTTCTCTGCCCTGTGAAACCTCTGTCCCAGAGAGTATTTCCCTTTCCCTTCCCTTTCCTGACCTACTTTGTGGAAACAGTGGAGAGCTAAGTAGTTGTTATTTTCTGGGTTATCAACATTGGCCATGCAATTCATCAGAGGTGCAGGAGCATAAAAGAAAAGTTAGGCAAGACTTTCTAAAAACGGTAAAAGTTAGGCAGTTGCTATATTAAGCCCTTGAATACAGATGAGAAAACCTTGCATGGATGCTCCATTTCTTGAGGCTCAAGACACCCCACACTGTGTAGCTACTTCATCTGTCTCTGGCCCGAGACCCTCTCTCCTGAATGGGGCCTATCTGCAATCCTAGTCTACCACATCTGGATCTCTGAACAGCTGGATTTCACCACCACATGGCAGGATGATCACATAAAGGAAATGTGTAAATCTGTTGGTTTTAATGTGCCAGGTAAGTGGAACCTTCCATTTAAGAGCTCGTTACTATAACACATAGTACAGCATCATATCCAAATACATCTCTCTGGAACATCCAGTCTGTCGCATATAAAACACATTTGGGTTTTATAGGAAGCTGTTGTTTCATTCTTTGACCCAGAAATCAATCAACAACTGTTTAGTGAGTGTCTGTGTTATGACGGGGTGTGATGTTAGATGCTACAAAAGTATACAACACCTTGGGAATAGCAAGTAGACATTTTGGCTAGAGAACAAAGTGAACAGAGGAGTGGGATGGGCAAATATACATCTCAGAGACTTGAGGCAGTAGCAAACGCCACCAGAATTTTAACGATTCAGTACTCAATTGCCATATGTATTACTTATCCCCTACTCCAATGACGCCCAGTGGCGATGGGAGTGCAAGAGGGGTGCTACTACTGCGTTGTGTGCTTCAAAACCCAAATCCTCCATCTCAGCTCGCATTCCCTTTTATACCTGAGTTCTCAGTTGGCCTTGTAGATGAAAAATGGAGAACATGAGAGATGCTGTGGGGGTTTGGAGACCGGAGTGGAAATCACACCTATATCTTCTTGACCTCTTTAACAGAGATTAAGTCATAGGACGGGTTTGTGATGCTTCCTCTGCACTGCCAATTTGACTGGACCTAAAATCACCACAGAGACACACCTTTTAGGATGCCTCTAAGGATGTTTCTGGAAAGTCACTTCTAACTGAAGTGAGAAGAACACTCTGAATGTAGGTACTAAAGTCCCGTGGGCTGGAGTCCTAAGCTGAATCAAAGGGAGGAAAGCTTGCATGTTCATCTCTCTCTGCCTTCTAACAGTGAATGTAATGTGACCAGCTTCTTCCTTTTTCCACCTCCATCACTTCTCTGATACAAGGGGCTGCATCCCATCTGTGAGCCCAAATAATCCTTCCTGCTTAATATACTTTTGTCTGGCACTTTGTCACAGCAAATAAAAAAATAGTGCAGAGTAACTGATGCAGGTAATTACAAAGGTGGACAAGCACAGTTCAGATATTCACCCTGAATGCAGGTTCAGTGGACATCTAATCAAGGGTCCATCACAGGAATAGATTGTAGGGGTTCCAGAAATTTAAATTATGATTTCTGTCCTTCTCATAAAAACAGTAGCTAGCTATAGCTAGTAAACTTCTGGTCCACACGGAGACTAGATTAACATGAGACATCAAGGAATACATCACACCCACTAAAATAAAAGGAACTGTGATTTTTGAATATATAGTATTATTTATATATATATATATATATAATTTATTTACCGAATAAAGCTTCTAGCTTCCCTGACACCAGTCTTAATGCTCAGAATATAACCTTGAAAGAATATAAAGTATGTGTCACATACTTACTATCATGTTTACTTTCATCCCAGTATTTCAACAAAGAAACTTGGTTCACAGGGGCCAAATGCATTGCTAAAGTTCACTTCTCACGAAGTATCAAAATGAGTGTTTGAAACCAGGTTTCCTAGACAACAGAACTGAGATTCTTTTCCAAGTACCAGCCTGGCTCCTCAAAAGCACTTCACAGAGCCAGTGAGACATGATACCTAGAAGACAAGGTAGACCTCTGGTTATGCTAAGCAACAGGCAGCAACCCAGGGCTTGGATTGCTACCTCTGTGTTCCACCTGTGATAGAGTGAGCATGTGAAGTGATGGGCAAGAGATAGCTGAGCACGTCTTCACCAAGGCTGGCTGGCTGGCAAGAGCCATCCAATACCGACAAAAGTGAGATGAAATAAAATTTTCTCTCTACCGCTAATACTGACTTCAGAAATTACACAAACATCCCACAGTTTACCAAACTATAAAATAGATAAGAAAGGTGGTGGGTTAGATGGAAAAGAATGGTGCCAAAGAAGTAGAACATTGGATGGAAATAAATCTCCACAATGGGGAAATTACGTGTCCTTAAAGAAAAATACATTGAGGGACAGAGAGGTGACTGAGTGGGGAAAGGTGCTTGCTCCCATGCCTGACCACCTGACTGTATTCCTCAGAACTCAAACAGTGGAGGAAGAGACAAACCCCTACCGGGTTGTCATGGACCCTCCATATGCATGTCATTGCATGCATGGATATGCACACACACAGACATCTGGACACACACATACACACACAAATATAAAAACGAACAGTAAGAATGCCTTGATAACTTCAACTCTCTATGAACTGCTTTTTGAAATATCTTATATGTTTTGGTAGAACTCTTCTTAATAACTGGATATATTATGATATAAAAAGTCTTTCATCTAAAAAATAATCTCCAATGTCAATGCCAAGAGTTCCATGTTTACATATTCATTTCTTTGGATTAAACAATAAGCATTCCTTGGAATCACTGACCATTTTAGTGACCAACTACACTATATGTGTTAAATGTATGATGCTCTCATGTGGGTTATTTTAATAGATGATTGTTTTACAAGATATGAGGCCCTAGTAACTACCGACTGAAAATACGATGCGGTAGGACAGATTCTGGGCAGGATCCGAACATGTGAGCCTAGTGTTAAACCTACCACCTACCCTCGGCTTGCTCTCCACAGCTCCGGTCACATTACTGGTATGCTACACCAGGGAAAATTAAACTTTTGTTGCACCAAGCAATCTAGTAAATATTGTAGGCTTTTTGAGATGACCCAAATCTGCCACCCCAGCAAAGATGTAGGTAGAAATGATAAACTAATAAATGAGAATGATCAAGCTCTACTTTATTTATAGACAGCGCATTTTAAGATATTACAATTTGTGTTTTATATTTTTCCACTATTATTATTATTTAAAAGCCCGTCTGCTGACCCTGCCTTTAGCTCCTGCCAATGTGCCTAATCCCTACCACAAGCCCCCACCTCCTCTTAGACCACACAACCTTTCTTCCTACTTAGAAGCACCAAAACTCAACTGGCCTCTTAGAAAAAAATATTTCTGCACCTAACACTTGACTCAGAGCTCTGCCTTCTTTGAACCTCTACCTATCTTAACCATCCCAAACCCAGGGTCCATATCCTGCCTGGCATTTTGTCTTTGATGGCTGGCATGCTTCTCTGACTCACAGTGGCTGTTGTGGCAGTACATCAAACTAAAAGGGTTGCCAAACATCGTGATTCTGCATACCTTAAAAGACATGCAGTTTAAGGACTGGCAAGCTACACTTAGCAAAAAGGCTGAGCATTCTAGCTCCTATGTGCATGATGCTCAAGCTGGGCTTCTTCCAGAGGGGGACTAGAAGGACCTACCACTTTAGTGCTTTGTAACAAGATCAGTGAGAAGCACATGACCTACAAAGAAGAAAGTGAGATACCTACAAAGCAGTAGAAAGATGCACCAAACCCATGTGGACAATGCAATCTGGCCACGCGCATGTGGCTATAATAATGTTGCCTAAAGCAACAGTTTACCTCCAGGTTGGAAAATGGCAGTAATAAAAAATACATGAGAACTGGCCAGATAGATAAACCCCAGCCCAAAAAGAAAGAACTCTGACTAAGGGGAAAATGAAAGATAAATATTTGTATACATATATTAAAAAGGTATTATCTTCTTCTCCAACACATTTCTTTGAAGTTACAAATCTATGGTTTCTCTTTATTCCCGTTAGAGGGAAAAACAAAAACCCTGAGATTTATGAGCAGTGTTGTTTATTTATAATCCAAGAACTCTCCTCATACCATATGGTTGTGAAATTTACAGAGAGACAAAGTGAGAGGAAATTGCCTGCTTAATTCAATGGCTCTGGCAAAGCTAGCAGGCAGGGAGAGCATCCCAAAAGCTTCCTCCAACACATGCGTCAGCATGTAAGGCATGGAGCCATGCATGTGAGGGAGCAAAGGGAGCCCTTGTCCCTCCAGCAAAAACCACAGATCAACGGGGTAGAACAACTAAGAAGCTGCACTCACTTCCACCTCCATGCACACTATAGAGATGCAGGGGCCAAGAGGAAGAAAGGAGAAGAGACTGAGAGTGAGTGATGCTGGGGCAGGCAGCGATCTGGACCACTGGAAATGTGCACGGTATTGGTCTTTCTTTGAAAGGAAAAGTACACATGATCTTTGTAACATGAATCTTAAAAGGCCTTATAAATAAAATAAAATATAAATAAATAAATAAATAAATAAATAAATAAATAAATAAATAAATAAATAAATAAAATCAAACCTGAGCCAGGTATTGGGGTGAATGCTGGAAGATCAGAGAAGCAGAACAAGCCACAGCCACCTCACCTTGCCAATTCCTCAGCTGATCTTATTTCCTCAGACTGAAAGCCTCTGAGTCCTCATTCAGAATGGGTCTCAGATGAATTGCTGCTAAAAAGCCTAAAAGCTTAACCAGGCTCTAGTTCCTGGTCCTCATGCCTTATATACCTTTCTGTTTCCTACCATCACTTCTTGGGATTAAAGGTGTGTGTCACCATGCCTGGCTGTTTCCAGTGTGGCTTAGAACTCACAGAGATCCAGATGGATCTCTGCCTCCAGAATGCTAAGATTAAAGGTGTGTGTGCCACCATTTTCTGGCCTCTGTTTATCTAATGGCTGTTCTGTTCTCTGACCCCAGATAAGTTTATTAGGGTGCACAATATTTTGGGGGACACAATACCACCACAGGTCTTTACAGTGCTTTTGCGTCCCTTGTTTTCTCCTGGTGCCAATGAGAACAAGGAAAGAACTTCCGGATCAGTCTCAGTTGCTCAGTGTTCCTTACAAAGAGGAGTGGTAGCTGGCTGTCCTTAAGGAACAAGACAAAACTCTATGCTGATGGTCCCTTTCCACTGTTCTGCACATTACAATTTCAAATTTGTGACAATTGAGAAGAAAGGAAAATGTTGGCACTAAAAACTTGATATGCAAATGATAATAGCATCTGGGTAGGGAAAGGAATTGTAAAGGGAGACAAATAAGAAGGATATAATGGAGTTGGATAGGGAAGTAACTCAGTGGTAGAGCACTTATCTAGCATTTATGAGTCCCAAATTTTAACTCACAGAACAATTCTGAAGGAAAATGGCATGGTGAGCCATGGCAGAGGGAAATCTTTGGCCCACCATTTCCTGCAAGCTCTGCAGACAACATGCCATCACCCACTGAATGTCCACACCTGCTACATGCAATATCCATTGCCTTTTCATATCCACATGGCTGCTCATGTGGGTCACCTCACAAAATATTATATAACTCCCCAAAATTTATCTAGCTCCATCATTTTCTGTGAGCTACAGTGCCACATTTCTAAGTGTTATGCAATGAACTATTGCCCTTGGAGTCCCAGGACACTGGGATTGAGCTCATTGCTTCTCTGGCCACAGTTCTCTTAGACAGTCTTTCACTTTAGTGATGATGACAAACCCTACAGCTCTCCCATGTTTCCCTCTCCTTCATCTCTAATCTCTGCCAAGATCCATTAGCTATGCTGCAGAAATACCTCATTCACTGGCCCTTCTCTCTTCTTCTGCACAGCCCAAACTCAACGATGTAACCAGCCTGATAGGCTGCTTGGGATGCTCCAATACCCCCTTACCTTGTTGCCCACCTCTGACCACCCTGCTCCCGCTGCATATTTCTCAGTAGCATTGTGCATGCCTCCTAATACTCACTGAGGGGCACAGAGTCATTTTCCAGCTCGAGGACCTTCATGGTTCCACATTTCCTGTATAATACAATTGGAATTCAAAAGCATGCCTTCATTCACCATCATCATGACCACTGCTCATCCCTAGTCCAGAACATTATGTGCAGTTGAATCCCACAATATTCAATGATTAAAGGAATGGCAGATGAAAAATACTGAGAATAGAAATGTCTCCCCAGCACCTCTCGCTGAGAAACACTGTGGTGGTAGACAGGACTGATGGGCTTATAAAACCGAGTGGATTTGACAGTTATGAGTGTGTAAAACAGTGATAAGAAAGCACAAGGTAGAGAAAAGAAAGAAGTAGACACTGGAGTTCATAACAAGGAACAGAGATGAAGCCCAGTCAGTCAACAGCCAAAATAATTAAGGACTCCCTGCTCCTCCAAAAGAAATCTATGAATAAAACAGAAGGACCTCAGAAAGTCAGGCAACTGTAATTTATGGCCAGGGAGTGGACAAAGCTAAATAAGATGAACCCGTCAGTGAGGAGTATGGGAGAAGGGAAGAATTGAACAGGCACTGACGAGAGACATAAACCTGCTGCAAGAGAAACACTGAGGTCCTCATGAAGATGCACAAAGATGCACATCAGAAAAGCATGTGTCTGCCAAGACTATGGGCAGCCAACCTGTCAGGGCTGGAAACAACTGGCAAAGCAAGGTGCTGCCCATCCCACCATTGAGACCCCCTTTCCACACACAAAGGGAGTACAGCAAAGAGCCTTGGGAGCCTGGAAGGAAAGGAGCCCCTGCCACAGAAACAGACTCAGCAAGAACACACACCAAAAAAAAAAAACGTTTCATATCAGCAGATTGGATAACCAAGTCAGTCAGGGCACAAAGGAAAGTAGGGGTGACAAAGGCTTGTCACCTCTCAGAGCCATTGAAAACCATAGTGCATGCTACAGGCAGAGTCCCCAGACCAGAGAATCATTGCACAGGTGACATCAAACTGGAGTGAACTATACTCTAGGTAGAGATTTGATTGCCAGACTGACAAGGTAAACAGGATGGGAATTGTTCTAAATCCTTCTAGGCTCAAAATGAGGTTATGCCTCACACAGTGATGCTCTGGGGACTGTTTTATGGCTTTGTAGGCTCAGCTCTGCAAGTCCCTGCTGAGGATCCACATCAGTGTCACATTGTGACACTATTTCATAAACACTGAATACTTCTCCAATGTCTTTGGGACAAAAATCAACCAGTCCACAAGCTGTGAAAGAGCAGACAAAGCCTAGGATCCAGCGAGCTTAGCAGTAAAAAGTAGAAGGTAGATGGTGAACTAATAGATAGTGACAGCTAAAGTTAACAAATCAACTGGAATTATTAGTTGAAATGAAAGAGGTGAAAAGGGATTGAAGAGAGTGAAAGAGGGTAACAAGTACTAAGGAAAGCTACTATCCATGTTAGCCATGAAGGATGAAGTCACACAAAGAGGCCAGGAAGAATTCTGCAGTGAGAGTAGCTTGTAGAAGGGTCCTGAGGCAGGAAAGACACTTAAAAAATTTTGAAAATCTTTTAAGGCTCAAGTACAAGAGCAAGAAGAGACACAAGTGCTAAGACTACCCTGCATGCCACACCAGGAAGTCACTAATCCCTAGAGCCTGAAACTGACATGTATGAAATGCATTCTGTTGTCTCAAGGACATGCCTCGGGTAATATTCACCTTTCTTGACACTGGCTTAATTGGGTATTAAAGAAGACATATGCACTTCTAACTCTAGATAAGATAAAGGGACATGAAAAGAGTTCCAGAAAAATAAGATGCATAAAATAATGATTTTTTTTTTCACTGAACATCATACAATAAAGAGGTGAGGCCCCAAAGGACAGAAACGAAATAAAGTTCACAATTGCCCTAGACCACTATAGGAGTTTCTAGGACACATGCACAAAAAAAAAAAAAGCTGAGGTGAGGCCACTACCATTTGTGTAGCAGATGGAACAGGAGAGTCTAGCAGGCAAATGTATCTAAATTTTACAACAATATCTATATTCAGCTAGAGACAATCCTGGAGAAGTAAAAAATGCACGTGTAAGGTGAATTCCAGATGTGTGAGGAATACCCCTCAGGTCTTCAACTGAGTACTGGTCAGCATAGGGAGAAACCCTAAAAACAACTTAAGACAGTTACAGAAGTTCAAAGAGGGCCAATAATGGCATTGTTTCTATCAGTCACAGTGGCGACCCTCATAAACTGTGTGGTGTCTAATAGAAAACCACAGTGAAATTCTGCCTTGTTAGTGGAGCAAACGTTAAACCTTAGCACAAATACTATTTGGTTCATGACTAATAACTCTGGAAAGCAGCAGCTAAAGAATGCAGTTGTTCAAAGTAACGATGTTATCAAGAACAAAGCTTAACAATATTTATAAGAATTCAAAAATCTCCAGTAACCAGAAATGAAGCCACAATATGTGACATTTGATTTAAAAAAAATTGTTATCGAAAGATGCAGAAATGTATAGTCCAAAATAAGGAGAAAAATCAAACAGTCTAAACCATCTATTGTCAGTTTGGGGAATTTTCCTGCTATCTCCCACCTACGAAAATTATCATTGTCTGGAGAAAATTTTAATTATCATAACTAAAACGTTTTTGTATCTCCTGGAAGACAGAAATAATACTAAAATTTCTACAATGTACAGGAAATCCCCCCACAACAGAAACTAGCCAATACCAATATTATCACTCCTGAGAAAACTTGTTCTAAACTAGTGAAGAAATGACATATTAGTTATTAAGTCAACAAGTGTCCTTGTTGACACTGAGACAGTTAACATAACATTATTATTTATGTTAAAGAAATTAGAGAAAAGACATACATGTTCAGTAGAGACATGAAATATAGACCAATGACATAAACAAAACTCTAAGAGTCGAACACTACAATCCATGAGGTGAGAAGTCACTGTATGGGGTTAGTGGCAAACTAGGCCTTGCAGAGGAAGGTTATGAAATGAACATGTGGCTATACCAACCATACAGTTAAAGAGAAAATAAACAGGATAGCCAATGCAGGCTTCAGAAGTAGAAGAATTGGAGGCCGAAAAAAAGATTTTAAGAAAAATGATGGCTGGCTATTTTCAAATTTTTTTAAAAACTGTAAGTTCATATCTAAGAAACATGAACATTCCAAATGTAAGAATCATGGATTTTTTTTTTAAGGTTTATTTTATTTATTATGTATACAGTATTCTGCCTGCATGTGTCCCTGTAGGCCAGAAGAGGGCACCAGATCTCATTACAAGTGGTTGTGAGCCACCATGTGGTTGCTGGGAATTGAACTCAGGACCTCTGGAAGAGCAGTTGGTGCTCTTAACCACTGAGCCATCTCTCCAGCCAGAATCATAGATTTTTTTTAAAAAAAGCAAAGCAATTACAATCAAACTGATCATCACCAGCGTTAGTTATAAGGACAAAGAACAAAAAAAATGCACTGTGCAGCAGACAGTAGGTGTTTGGTTTGTGTCATTTCTATTTGTTTCTCTAGATTCACTGAATGAATCTCTAGATCATTGATTCTCAACCTCCCCAATGCTGCAACCCTTTAATATAGCTCCTCATGTTGTAGTGATCCCTAACCATAAAATTATTTTCATTGCTACTTTATAGCTGTAATTCTGCTACTGTTATGAATCATAATATAAATATCTGATATCCAGGATATCTGATATGTGCCTCCCAAAGGGGTCACAACTCACAGATTGAAAAGCACTGACTAGAAATAATGTAAATAAAATAAAGTCCATTTAAAAATGTATTATTATAGGTGGTGGTGGTTCACAGCTT